TGCGCATGCACAATATAGCATGGGTGGGTTTTGCCACGGACCGTGCCTCAGCTCGACAACAATCCGATCCGGGTTGTCGCTCTTCGTAACGGTATTTATTGATAATTCGTACGTCTGGCTGTCCATGTTGCTCCTGCTTTCAACCCACGGGTGGTGGAGGTCGCATTATAAGACTCACTTGCGAAGAGAGAATGATACCGTGCGCCGCGATGCTCATTGGCGGCTGTAAATACACTTTCAGAATGTATCTACTTGCAATTCATTCCAGGTTTCCATCTTTTTTGTTCTTTATGCCTAATATCAATGCCCGAAACGTAGCACTCTCGGCGGGCAATTTATCTTGCCAGGAAACAGCGGGCTCTTGTGACTTAAGACAGCTGCGCAAGCAACCCACTGTGCGTGGGTTCCACGAGGTGAAGATCTTGTGAATCCTTCGATTGTGGCCTTTCAAGATCGGTGCATTCGAGGTTCAGCTGATCCGTACAGATACAAGGTCATTTGCACTTCCGTTTAAGCAATCCAAAGATAGTATATTGTGAACCCTTTGAACATGACCTTTTAAGACTTTGAAACAATTGAGAATCAGCCGTTCCATACACAAAAAGGACATTTGCTCCTCACGACTAAAGATTGAGCTCCCGTCATTGCAAGTATCTGCCATTCAATCACTTTAAAATCTCCCCCGACAACTTGGAGTGCATCAAGAATCATGAAAACCAGCAGTATCCAGACTCAGGAGTCGACCACAATCTTGTCACAGTCAGGCACGCCGGTCTCATTTATTTTTGACTCGCTTCTCCCTGCGCTTGTTCCAGTTGAAGTTCGAGTAAGTATACACAAACTTGGCATCCGATCGAGCGGTGTTTAGAGCTAGCTGACGAGCTCTTCGAGATGCAGGTTGGACTTCAAAACGTTCAAGCCAAAATAGCCTTAGTGATGTGTACCGCAACGTCCCTCCCAACGGTAACGTGAACGGAACGGGGGGTGTAGATTATTTTTTAAGAGAGCGGTCACGCCTGGAGCACTACAGGAATACGATTACCGGACACATCGATACGCATGGGTGTAACCTTATTTGGTCAAGCAGAATCATCGGCTTTTTTGGTTTATCCCTTTGTCGTTTTGGAGCCAAGTGGTAGTCTGCACAAACCAATACGCAGATGCCTCAGGCTACTCGCCGGTGAGGTCAGTAACGTTAAATGAACTGATACAATTTCTGGGTATTCTGTAGTACATGACGTTTGTTGACAAAGGTGAGATGAGAAGCTATTGGGTTGATGATCAAGATGCAACGATATTCCCTGGATCTCTTGCGACTGGTTTGGAATCGATCATAATTTTTGAGTTTTCGTTCGGACGTATGCGCCGCAGACTTGCAACGAGATCCAGCTGCAAAAAACACGACATCTTATTAATATTATCAAATCTCGATGCTTGCGTGATGTTGACATTGGTCGAAATGTGGCAATTGATGAGGCCAGCATAGCGTGTCGGTCACGATATGCGCAGCATATTATAGTCTTCAATCCGCAAAAACCTACTGGAAAGCATCATTTTAAGCTATAGGCTTGCTGCTGCTCAACTACTTGGTACGTGATTAGTTTTAAGCTACATTGCGCCAGCGATCCCAACGATCGGATGGATGGTGTCGCTCCACAACAAGCGATTTTGAGGCACGCTGATCTCATTGCGAACGCGTCGGGAACTCGCTCTCACGTCATGGAAGTTACAGCGTCGTTGAAAGGTTCCTGTCGGATAATTAACGAGGAATTACCTTGACTCAGTGAAAAGCACTGAATCGATCGTGGAAATGGTGATTATCTGGACTGCGTCAGTGAAAGCATAGTAACAATGATTTATTATTAACCCTTTCGTGATCGCAAATCTTGGCGACTATGCGAAACGTTTGTAAACGCGGCAAAATGCCGCGTTTTGAGGTGGGGATGCGCACTCCGTTCAAAACAGACTGTTTCAAAACACGATAGATTGCTTATAGAACGTGGCATTTTGCCGCGTTTTGCAGCCACAGCAGCCGCGTCGCTGATTCGTCAAAATAAAGGTGCTCCACCGATTGGCGGAGCCGGCCATCAGAGCGATCAAAATTTCAGTTCCTAACGTTGAATTCCCATCTCTAGTTTCGGCCACCATAATACCGAATTGTGATTTTTACGAATTCCGCGAACGCGATTTTTTTTTTTGGGCCCCAATTTCACTTCTTTTAGAGGGGGACCGTGAGACACATTTTTTTCTGGAGAAACACAATTTTAACCCCCTGGCCAAGGGGAATTTTCTCCCCCTCCCCACAGAAATTTTTTTTTTCCAACACAAATTCCCCGCCCCTTTAAGGGGGGCGCGGTGTGAGGTGCCAAACCCAGGGCTTTTTGCCTTTTCCATAAAATAATTTCTATTTTAAAAGAAAGACGTACAGGAGCCGTTCATTTCCTGATTTGACGCCTTGAGCCCATGCCGCGAAAACGCGCGCTCGCAGAAGATCAACCTGCAAGAAAAGCGGCTTCGGCGGGGCCAAGCCCTCAGCGACGACGCTACCAAATTGTCATCGACGCTGGACTTTAACGGTGTGGAGAGAGCTAAAGGCAGCTGGGTGGACGTCCAAGCTTCCAAGTGGCCTCGACGATCGATATCGGTATGTCCTCCCCGGTTGTACTGGTAGCGGAAGAGCTGGTGTTGATTACCTGCTTGGGGAAGAAGAAGTATTGTGGCACTTCGTACAACATTGTGAGTAATACCTACTCTCCAGCGTTTACAACAATGATGTTGCCTCAAAACATGCTATCCACCTCCTTGTGTAGCCTTGCTAACATAACCATACGCATTGAGTCCGTAATGCGCCCGTAGAAGGTAGATACGGCCTTAGCCCCGACACTCCAGAGAAATTTTTTGGCCGACGCCCCTGGTAGATTGATGAAAGTTGTCATATCGTTGATTTGAGAAGCAGGCAAGCCTCGAGAGACTATCCACCTCTCTATGTAGCCTCGCGAACAGCTCCATACGCATAGAGTTCAAAATGCGTCCGTAGAAGGTAGATACGGCCCTTAGCCCCGACACGCCAGAGCCGTATTTGGGCCGGCCGGCGACGCCCTTGGTAGATCGATGAAAGTTGTCATATCGTTGATTTGAGGAGCAGGCAAGCCCCAAGACGCTATCCACGTCGCCATGTAGCCTCGCCAACAGGTCCATACGCATAGAGTTCGAAATGCGTCCGTAGAAGGTAGATACGGCCTTAGCCCCGACGCTTCAGAGCCATATTATGTCTGACGCCCCTGGTAGATCGATGAAAGCTCTCATATCGCTGATTTGACAAGCAGGCAAGCCCCGAGACGCTATCCACGTCGCCATGTAGCCTCGCTAACGGGGTCCATACGCATAGAGCTCGAAATGCGTCCGTAGGAAGGGAGATACGGCCTTAGCCCCGACGCTCCAGAGCGAATTTTTGTTCGACGCGCCCTGGTAGATTGATGAAAAGATGTCATATTCGTTGATTTTGAGAAGCAGGAGTAGCGCCGGAGACGCTATGCACCTCCCTCATGTAGCCTTGCTAACGGGGCCCACACGCATAGAGTCCTCTAGTGCGTCCGTAGAACGTAGATACGGGTCTTTAGCCCTACACTCCAGAGCCAAATTTACGGTTGTCGGCCCGACGCTCCTGGTAGATTGATATAGGTTGTTCATATCCGTGGATTATAGGAGGAGAGGAGAGCACGGAGAAGCCTATTCAGCCTCTCTCTCGCAGTCTTGCGGATCAGAGTCCACATTACAGCTAATAGATACGGAAATGGCGGTCCGGCAGGAAAGG